TACAGCATCCGCAGTTCTTTTGGTTTTTATAAGAATTTCAAAGATTCTCGGTGACTTAGTAGTTTTTAAATTTTATTACCATGCAGGCATTAATGAACTTTAAAGATTTGTTAAGATGTTTATTTAAAATGAAAGTGTCAAAATATTTGTTCAAAGCAAGCAGTTTTCTCATCGGACTTGATAACATATTAAAGATCCTGAAAGTATGTCCCAAGTTTTGTAACTCTGCTCTGTATTTTGGAGTTATAATATTCATAACTACATTTTAAAAAAAGAGAAGTTATGCACAATTTCACAGAAACAAGGTGGAATTCTAGAGAAAGTGCTGAGAGACACAAAATTGGCTGACTGTTTCTTTCAATATTAGCTATGGCTCAGTGGCTGGCTTTCTTGTCTCTGAATCAGAGGCTCTGGGTTCAAGTCACAGTTCAGGCTCTGAAGCACAAATGTCTCGTTTGACATTCCCAGTGCAGGTCTATTGGAGTGCTGCACTGCTGAAGGGGTCATCTTTCACATGAGAAAGTAAAACTTCAGACCCCTCTGCCAACTCAGGTGGTCGCTTTTTCAAAGACGTGAGGACTCTTTCTGCAGCCTGGCAAATATTCATTCCTCAAATCAATGTCCAAACAATACATCATCTGGTCATTATCATTTTTGGTGTTTGTGGGAACTTGCTTTATGTAAACTGCCTGCCATGTTTAGTACATTATGACTGTGACTGCATGTCATCAAAGTACTTCACTGACTGCAGAGTGCTTTGGAAGTTGTGAACACCGTTATGTAAATACAAGTCATTGTGTAGACATCTAATAAAGTGTGTTCTTGCTTAATCTTTTTAAGGTTGAATCATATTGTACAAAACAAGACTGTAACACTCCTCATTCCTTCTCTGAAAATGCTATTCAATTTGTCCAACTTTCTCCTTTTTTTCCTAAAATTATTTTCATTTTCAAACTGATGTTGAATTTCTTTTTGGATGTTATATCGGTTGTGCCAAAATCAGGTCCGCAGTTTAAAAAAAAACAGGTTTCTAGCAAATCCCTAATTGATATCAAAGTGCTCATTTTTTTTTCAAAACTGTAGTGCAATTGAACATATGCTGGCAGGCATCCTCCTGGAACTATGTCTATTTGTATTATGTTAGCATAGGCGATGAAGGCACAAGTTTCATTTCCATTTTCTCTGCTTTGGCATCATTACTCAGGCAAACAAGGATGAGAAATTGGGGTGATAATGCATCCACCAAATCACTGCCCATTTTCTAGCCCAGTGGAGTTTCCAACAGAAATGTTGGCAAACCACTCAAGCAAATTTTGAATTTAGGCAATGATGTACATAGTTTGATGTATATATGAACATATTTTATGTCATCACCACCTTTGTAACTAAATGCTTTATAAAGAGAGCTGTGAAGATAAGGTCAGTAAAAAGCAGGAACTCGCAAATCAGTGACACACTGACTACTCTGTCCACTTCTCCAATGCATGCTCGAAATAGAATAAGGGTCTAGTTCAGGGTTAGTCGTGGATTTTGATAGCATCAATCACAGCAACATCTAATAATAACTAGGTCCATCTAACTCAATCCTCAGTAGGAGTACTTCCAATCTATCAATATATTGTGACATTACTATTTCCTGTACATACATCCATTTGTCTCCACACAGACTATCAGTTCATATTTCGTGCTGATAGAAAGAAATAAATCTCATTAGGAATTAGTCCAAGGGATGTTAATTATCTGACCCTATGAAACACTCTCATCAATGGCTATTCCTTTGGAAATGCTGAGGATTCAAGCAAGGTAGATATTTAGACGCAATGATCAACTGATCTATTGATAGCAGACAGCATCACATAATTGACATTGTGGGTTTGCCTACACTCCCATGGATGCTGGAGGCTCAAGCAGGTGGGTTACCATTGCCACCTTCTCAAAGGGCAATTGGGGATCAGCATTGAATGTCACAGCCAGCGACACCTATATCCCATGACAAAATTTATGAAAGCTTATTCACACCCAAAATCCACATGTGCACTATATCACCTAGGCTCTTTCCCTCCTTAGCTCATACACAATGAGGCAAATTAAAGACTCACAAAAAATTGAAAATTAGACAGAATTTAGAGCACAGAAACTAGGGTATTTGGCCTAATTGATCAACACTGCTGTTTATGCTTCACATGGGCCTTCTCTGATAAGTCATCTAACTTTACACCCATATTCTTTAAATGCTTTCTCCTTCATGTGTTTATCTGGTTACCCTTTTAATGCATCAATACCATTTGCCTCAAACACTCCATATAATAGAGGTCCATATTCTAACCACTCACTGCGTAAAGAAGTTTCTCATGAATTCCCTATTGGATTTATTAGTCACTAACTTATAGCCTCTAGTTTTGAGCTTCGCCACAAGTACAAATATTTTCTGTCTACCCTATCAAACCGCACCATAATTTTAAAGACCTCAATCAAGTCAGCCCCCAGCCTTCTCTTTCTCAAGAACAGAATCCCAGCCTGTTTAGTCTTTCCCGAGTGGTGTAGCATCAGCACTAGTTACACTTTACTTCCTAAAACCTAACCCTGATACTGTATACAGAGGCCAAAAAATTGCCCACAGTTTTTCTTGCTGATGAGATCAGCAGAGTGCAGACTAAATACTGAGCTTGAAGCTCCTTGTGTGAACCTTAGCACTTCTACAGGTCACCTTAGCACTTCTACAGGTCTTTTCGATAGAGAGAGGTGTCTCAAGAATTCGATGAGATGGGTGATGAAGGTGGAAGAGAAAATAACAGTAATCAAATTATCATCCCAAATTTTCTTTATTTGTTCTTGAGATGTGGCCATCTCTGTCAAGACCAGCAGTTATTGCCTTTCCCAGAAGTGGTGGTGAGCCACCTTCTAGAATACAACTGAATGGATGCTAGGCTATTTCAATGAGCGGTTAAGAATCAAAAACACTGCTGGATGCGAGTCTGGAATCACATACAGATAAGGCTGTATCAGGATGGCAGATTTCCATTCCTAAAGAACATTAGTGATACTTTTTTTTTCCAATGACAATTTGGTAGTTACTTGGTCACCATTACCAACACTAGCCCTTCAATTCCAGATTTATTTACTTAACAGAAGTTAAATTCGCATCAGAGCTGGCTATGGACAAATTTCTTACATTCCTGCAGAATATAACAGACTGACATTTCAGTCAGTCAGTGAGTGATGAAGGAGCCCTGCACTGTCTCCCAGATAAGACGTCAATTCGGAGCTCCATCTGCTCTTGTGGTAAAAGATCCCAAGGTACTATTCAAAAAAGAGACTTCTTCCCATCTTTCCAGCCACGCTTGACCCTCAACCATCAGGATTAAGAACTTATTATCTGGTCATAATTACAATGCTGAATGTAGGAGTGTGCAGATTAGCTGTCACATATCTTCCATTTCAATAGCAATGACACTTCTAAAGTACTTTACGATGTTCGAAGGTGTGAAAGGTTCTATATAAATGCAAGATTTTCTTTTGATACATTGGTTAAACTGTGAATTTCATCCCTGGTAAATATAATTGTGCATAAACAGAAGGATTGCATTCATCATTCAATTTGTGTGTACTGTTCAGTTTATACAAATCAACAAAAATGCACTTTGGCTCCCACTTTTTTCAAATTTATTATATTCATAGTTGTCAGTATAGCTCTAGGTTCAACTGTTCAAGGTGTTAAAAGCAGGTGTCACTTTCTCTACTATCAAATTATGAAGCAATTTCATCACAGAATAATCTATTTCTACGGGAAGCCAATTAAATTGTGCCATGGGAGATTAAGGGCATTGCATTAACTTATAGTACTCTGATTCAACAGTAGAATAATAATACTATTAAAAATATATAGTCAATGTTCCAAATCTTGGGGGTCAACTTTTTTCAGAACAGCTTTCAAATACGGTGTAATGTTTCTTACAATGAACTTACCCCCACTATCAATTTAATCATAGACTGTCACTCTGATGGCTTTATTTGTTAAGGGATAGCACATTTCCATCTAAGAATCAGCTAGGCTTTATATCACCATTAGACAATTCATAATTCTGAGCAGCAAAATGAACGCACAAATTACATTCTTCAACCTTTTACTCCCACTAAATCTTTCCTTTTTCCACTTTGCTGAGCTTGAATATTTTATTCCTCCATCAAATATGCATCCCATTAATTAAGTTAAATTACTTCTGACTGCCAAATATTCACTGTCGATGACTGTCAACAGAAAATACATGGCTGTGAACTTCTAATGACACAGCCTCAGTTAAACATGAGTTACAACCTTCAAGCATGCATCTACAGGCAAATTATCAGTCTCCTGTTTAAAACGAGACTAAATTAAATGCTGGTTTCTTTCCTTTTGCTTTTAACAACTATACAATAGATGACACGCTTACTTGACAAAGCAAGTGCTGCAATTTTAATTATATGCCTTTTTCTCATCTTTTAATTGCTGTTGTTAATCAGTCATTAACTTCATCTCCTGAAAAACTGCAAGTACAAGA